ACAGCTTCAATATGAAACATTTTACTTTGTAGCCATTCTCAAGGGCACTATGGTTTTACTTGGGCTCTTTAGCTGTTCTCTTCTCTCCTTGTCACAGAGTTGGGGGAGGGGTACTAAATCATCCCCAGACAAAAGACCTTTGAGAACACTTTTGAGACAAACACATTTGGGTCTGAAATGGGAGGAGGCAATCCATCTTTCAGAGTCAGCTTCTCGGTGAGCTTAAACTGTGTATGGCAGTTTACCAATATAATATACATTATACTCATTTTCTCTTCTGACCCCTCCACTGCTATCAGTCTTCTTCTCTGGTCCTCTTAGCTAACTTCTCATTATCTTTATATTCTCAGCTGACCGTGTCTTAACATTTACATCTCTTAGTATTAGTAACACGCTCTTGCTGCTATTTCTGTTAGTGTTTCAGATCCCCACTCTGTGTCTTCTTAGTAATCTTACAACAGCGTTCATCATACAGTGTTGTGACTGGCTACTTCCCTTCATATTTTACTATTTTCAGATTGCTTTTCTAGTTTGTAAAGACATTTGAGTTTTTAATTTCTGTTTAAAATAACCAAAATCCTCTGCAATTTTAAAATGAAATGATAGTGGTGGTGGGGGGATAGTGGTAATGATAATGGTGATGATAATAACCCCATTTGTTGAAATGTGTGCTAGGATCTTTCTAAATATTTCCTATTATAATCTTATTACTAATCTCATTTAATGTGAGAATAAACTAAAGCTGAGAGAGGTAAGGACATTGGCCAATAGTTTATGTTGTAGAGCCAGGCATGCATGGAATGGTACTCTAGAGACCAAAAAAACAAAAGAGAAAATATTATTTGTGTCCTGATACTAACTTTAGCCCCATTTTTTGGTGAGAGACAGCCTGGAAGAACAATTACCAATATTCATAAGCTTGCTTCTGTTCTCTTGGAATCCCATGATTCCAAAACACAGTTGTCCCAACAATTATAAAAAGAAGTAAAATATGAACATATTTAAAAAGCTAGGCAAATATTATAAGTGATAAAACATACAGATGTAGTGAAAAGTAAAAAGAGAGAGTATGACCTGGAGGAGGAACACCCAGGAAATTAGTTTGGAGTAGGCAGTGTTTACTCTGTGCCTGAGCAGTGTGCAGCTGGGTATGTGTAGGGAAAAACACATCAGGATCCCAGGGGTAGTGGCAGGGATGGCAGCATTCTCTTAGGATCTTGATTTATGCCAAAGGATAAAGCAAGAGTAAGAGCCTTTGGCTAACCTCACTGCCCACTCATAATTCTATCTCATAGTTGCTACTTTATAAGGGTCTGTGGATTATAAAAATAACATACCCAAAACTTCATGCTGACATAGGCTTTCCTCCCGAAATTCAGTACCTTCCATGCTAATTGATGTCCTTCAGCCACACTCACTCCTGTGACACATGAGTTAGGTCTTGGACAATGACTTACCAGCACAGGAAAGAGTTGTGATATCCTGGAGCTTTACATCTGTACACAGTATGGTTCTTGCTGCCAAGACTACTAAATTATTATTAGTCTTTTCTCAAACTACAGAGTTGGGCCACTCCTACCCAGAAATCAGCTCTGCAAATTTTACCCTGCTTATCAGATGATGACAATTACTTGCTAAGTCTATCCAATTACTACTTTTGAGTAAAGCAGATATTTATTGAACAGGTGCATTTACTAAAGGAAAATGAGTAATGACCATGAGTAATGAAGTTAGTAATAGTCAACTCTAACATGGCTTATTCATGGACATGTCAACTTTAGAATCTCTTGTCTTAAAAATATTCAGATAATAGTTTTTTAAATACCTAGTGCTAGTCTTGATATTTTGCATATTAAAAATTACTTAATAATTATATATTTGATTTAAGATATGCATTACAAATACACATACAGTAGTATTCCCTATTTTCTGGTCCTACATACCATTAGAAATGAAAGAGTTCAAGGCACAAATAAATAGGACAAAACTACTCAGTGTAAGCAATACTGGAAGCTGGAATGAATAGCCCTATATCTTTAACTTACAATAAACATTTAGTTCATGGTTATATCACATTCCAATAGGAACCAGCCTATGGTTGTGCTCTTGGAGCAGATGTGGTGTAATGAACAGTTATCCAGTTACTCAGACTCTCCCATCTAACTGGCCTTTCTGGGCCTTAAAGGCCTTAGAGCTTGGAAGTTCTCCACTGGCCACTGCACCATCCATGGAAGATGGATGTTTGCCAAGTTTTCAGACCCAGGTCTTGGAATAGCATGCCCTGCCCAAATTCCATTGGCAGAACTTATCACATGGCTCTATGCAAGACAATCAGGAAGTGCTGTCTTCCTGTCTAGTCAGGAGAAGAGGAAAAAAATTTGGTGAGCACATATCATTGCCTTCATCAAAGCCTTTATTCCTTTCATTAGCCTACTTATTCTGATTATTTTGAAGGTTCAAAGGCTTTTTTTTCAGATGTTAAATAGACTCATAATAAATTGGTAGAGACAGCTGAAGTTTCAGAAGTCTTCCCAAGTTTACCCAATCTTTCCTTAGTCAGCACTTTCTGCAGCTGTCCAATTCAAAATCTCTTAAAATGTACCCAACACATATTTCTAAGAAATATGTATTTTGGATCTTGCTTTCCCTACATAGGAAACCAACCTCTAGGCAGTTTCTCCTTAGAATTCCCTTATAAACTCCTCCCAGAGATGTCATAAAATACATTAGCTTGTGTTTCCACTATGTTTACTTGTATAGTCTCTGATATCAGATAGTTCTATACCCATACCAGGAAGACAGACACTAGTGATTCTGTAATGAGCTGCACAGCAGTAAAATTATATTGTTCCTTCATAGGCATAGTAAACTCAAGCATTGTTGCTGTTGTCATAGAGATTAAAAAATAGAAATGTATGCTAGAAGTGAGACTCCAACAGAAACATAAACTCCAGCAGAGGAAGCCTTATTCACTAATGAACCACTAGTTCCTTGAGTAGAACCTGCAAATGCTTGCTAGAGTCCTCAAATATTAATGGCAGAATGAGTAGAGCTCATGTAGCATGTGACAAATAATTCTGTATTGAAGCTACAAGAAAAGAAATATTCATCAAGATAATGAGGACTTGAAAAATGGTGAAAGTGATCAGAACTATAGAGGGTAACAGAGAACAAAGGAGCAGTCAAACCACACAAAGAGAAAAGAGTAGAAATCATGCAGAATGGAATGTGTGTGGTGGAGCAGAAAAGGAGGCTCAGCTCAAACCAAAGTAGTCAGATGTTGGAACAAGAGCCAAGTTTGGGAAATAAACTTGGAAACACCATCTAGGCCTGTGTCCTAGTTCTTCCATGTATGCAACAGCTGGATAAGCCACTCCCTCAGCCTGGTTTCAGATATATAATTTGGAAAGT